CATTTCATGCCAGAATTAAGATCTTTTGGCTGCCTTTGTGTATTGGAACTATTGCAATAAACTCGCTGGTATAATCTGGTATCGAACGTAATTGACGTCAGATCAAGAACACTTGTTCGTGATTTAAAAACAAGAACATAAAAATACACTAATCAGTTTTAAAGGCTATTAATTTCCTATTGTCCGTTTGCCGGTGACTGCTTGAAAAGGTATTAATTTAATTCCATTATTTACCTTTTTTTCAATGGGCAAACAGAATTCATCGGAGGATTTTCCTTTTTTAGGATATACAAACGGATTATGGTAATATGTCTAATATGGGGAAATGACATAATCACTTCTCTTGTAGTTTGGCGTTTCTCCTGTAATTCTCCTACAGTTTTTTTGATTTCTTTTCTTTATTGTTTGTTTCATAAATCCTGCCACTACAAATTATCAAATTTAAGGACAAACATACAAAATATATATTTTTTTCTCTCCAGAATCTCTCTTGCATTTAGATACGTCAACCAATTGTTCATGCTTTGAATATTGCTGCCAAATCTGGTCCGCTACTCCCATTGTACATTTAGAAATTCTTGATAAAATCCAAAGATGAATCTGCAATATTATTGGTCCTGACCTGGTGTCTCGGTTTCAGTCGCTTTCCCACCGCCTTAAGGTTGCATCTCTGTGCCTTTTCTACAAATATTTTCATAGTAATTGCCCAGATGAACGCTTCACTATGGTACCTAGACTTTATGAATTTAAGCGCAGTAGTAGATTGCTGCACTTCTCACTTGTGGAACTCTCTTCCGGTTTCTTGCTTTCCAGCCATCTTTGATCTTCAAAAATTTAAATGCAATCTCAATCGTTATCTACAGTCTCCTTGATTCATCTTCTCTTATTGTTCTCGCTACTTAATAATATTTCTCTTTTCTTTATTCTTTCACACTCAGTAACCCCCTTATGCCTTAGTGGCTTTATTGCCTTACTTGGGGTGTATTTAATATCAATCCTCTTAATTCAATCGATGGTGGATAATTTCCCAACAGATGAAAAAGAGATACGACGTGATCAAGATATGGTTCGGAAATGTTGAAAATATTCTAGACTGAACATTCGAGTAACGAGGCGTTAAAAGAAATACGGACGAAAAGGACATTTATAATTATGAGGAAAGACGGCTTGAAGAATGTAATACTCTTCAAATCAAGTCTCGGATATTTCGGTCCAGTGATGCAGTTGTATGATCCTGGGTGAATAGTCCAACGTTGTAAAAATATCCACATTGCTTTGCAACATAGCGGACACCGGTCAGTGTTTTGTTTAGATGGATCAGTTAACTCAAGCCGTACTACGTGAACATAGACAACACCATCATAACAATGACTTCGAGCAAATGAAGCCTGTAGGTTTTAGCGATCTAGTGTAATTTACAGTTGAACAAGACCTGTACGATGAAACACTCGGTCACGATGACTTGTAACTTCCTGCTTGCACAATCATCTACATCTTCGCCAACTTTGATCTTCAAAAATTTAAATTCAATGTCAATCGCTATCTACTGTCCTCCTGATTACGCTTCTATTGTTCTCTCTCCCTAATATTTGTCTTTTTTTTCTTGTTTTTTCACATTCAGTAACTCCCTTGTGTCTTAGTGGCTTTACTGCCTTGTATGGGTTGATATGATTAAAAAATATGTATAAATATGTAAACAAATAAATAAACCACACGATAACACGAACTGTCACGTGAAGACGCAATATTTTTCGAATGATGAAACTGACAGAGCACAAAAACCAAAATGGCTTAAGAAAGTGAAAAGTACGGAGAAAAGTACGAGAAACTGTTAATAATGCACTGAAGTTCTGGAATGAGCGTGCTACGTTACTGAGTGTTTTACAAGCGGACCAATTTCCTTATTTTTTTGTTATTATCACAACGTTTCGACCGTTATGTTCCCTGGTCTTCATCAGTGCTCATCGGTCCCGGTAGCATTCACGAAATTTCGAACTGAGCCCTGTATTTAATGTACGGCATTGGAGTGTTCTCGTTCCGTTGTCAATTCACTAGACAATGTCTTAACTTCAGCGTATAAAAAAGAGATCGTCTAATAATGTCTGATAATGACCGATATACAATATCTCTTTCGGTAATTGGAAAAATATAATAACAAAATTAAATAAACAAACCTTTCCAGTTGAATTTAACAAAAATATACCTATATATATATATATATATATATATATATATATATATATATATATATATGTGTGTGTGTGTGTGTGTGTGTGTGTGTGTGCGTGTGCGTGCGCGCGTGTGTGTGTGTGTACTAGAAATGGAATAAATCCGACATATTTAATTTAAAATAACGTTTTAAACAAGATATATATATATATATATATATATATATATATATATATATATATATATATATATATATATATATATATATATATATTATATATTTTAATTTCTATAGTCATGTATATATTGGCTGGGAAAAGGAAGATTTCTTTTAGGAACGGAGATATTTGATAAAAATACTGTGCAAATTCATATTTTGGTAAGATTCAATAGCCGCATTTTCAAAGGTTTTCCGTCTACGTAAGATATTTTAGTGTTTAATAAGTGTAGCATTCTATAGATCAAAGTTTTATTGTTGAACTTATTTTTTGTGTATGGTTAATGCATTTCATACATTGTTGTATAAAATCCTATTTCTGTTCAAATATAGGTTTTCAAATTTCTGCCAGTTTCCCCAATATATTGTAAGGAAAAGTAGTGTCAGCTCATTTTATATGTAATTGCTTCAATATATATATATATATATATATATATATATATATATATATATATATATATATATATATATATATATTCATTCAGACCGGAAGAAGCAATGAAACGTGTCGTTTATAAGTTTTCCACTTTGTCAAATCATCTCCATTTTTGTTTGAATATTATTACACATGTTACAAAGACACATATATAGAGACACACACATACACACACAAACACACACACACACACACATATGTGTGTATATACACACACACACACACACACACATATATATATATATATATATATATATATATATATATATATATAGTTACAGAGATAGATAGATAGATAGATAGATAGATAGATAGATGGATAGATGTTTTTATATGACTAAAACTTTTTAAGTATAAGATCTCTGAACATGCGTGTTTGGTTGTATATCATATTTTGAGTTTGCATGTGTGCGTGTGTGTGTGTGTGTGTGTGTGAGAGACAGAGAGAGAGAGAGAGAAAGAGAGAGAAAGGGATGGAAATAGAGAGGAAGAAAGAAAAAATGTCTGAATTACTCCACGTCGAAATTAAATAGTCATGGAAAACCTTTCTGCAATGTTTTGTTCAATTTACTAAAAAAATCCTGCTGCAAGAAAGGAAAGTTACTTTTTTCGACTCCTTTTCAAATAGAAAATAGTTTACGAGACTTACTTCGGGAAGAAAAATCATACCTGTTAATGCTCTCTGTGCGCATGCGTTCACTGCTGTCCGCATCTATAGTCATGTTAGCGCTTTTTTTTTTCTTTTCGCTACCCTTTTTATATTTTGGAAGAACCTTTTTTTTTTTTTTTTTTTTTAGTCTATCACTTGAATATCTTTTCTTACACGAGCAATAAGAAAATTAAAATAAAGTAACGAAATAGATATCCGCCCACTTTTTTGTCAAAAGTTTCTCTCCAGCCATCTCAGAGCACTAACAAAGGCGGACTCGTTTCCCGCCAATCTTTCGATGTAATTTGAACGCTGGTTTCTTTTTATCAGTGTCAGATCATCGATCAACGAATGAACAGCGTTATCGATCGCTAAAACATTTATTGTACAAACGCCATTGGAAAAAGTATTCAAATATTCTATGACAAAACCGAAATGATGAGGCAGCTTTTTGTTTGCTTATATTTTTTTTAGCAGTCCGTAAATGTTCCAAAGAATGTCTGTCGTATAATTGAATGCTAATATAAACGGGTCTTTTGTTTATTTTTCTTCGCGTTTTTCTTTTTTTCTTTTTCGATTTGTAACGTTTTCATCGTTAGTTTTTTTTTCTTCTTACATTTTCTTTTATTTGTTTCTCTTTTCCGTCAGCAAATTAATTTTTAGTTTTCACTTCTTTCATCAACTTTCCTTTTTTCAAGATTTCTTTGGCACTGTTTCTTCTTTTTATTTTTCTTATTTTTCTTCTCACTTTTCCACTTAGTTTCGTTTCTTTTTCTTTTTTTCTCTCTCATTCGTTCTCTTTCTTTCTCTTTCTTTCTCTTTCTTTCGTTTCCTTTTCTCTTTCTTTATTTTTTTTTCTTTTCTTTTTATTCTTTCTTTTTTCTTTCTTTTTTCTCTTTCTCTTTCTTTATTTTCCTTCCTTTCTTTTTTCCTTTTTTCTCTTCTTTTTCTTTTTTTCTTTCTTTTTCTCTTTTTTTCTCTCTTTTTTCTTTCTATTTCTTTCTCCGTTTTCTTTTCTTTCTTTTCTTTCTTTTTCTTTTTCTTTATTTTTTTTTTTTCGTTTTTTCTTCTTTTTTTCATTCCCAAATTTTTTTTTTTTTTCTTTTTTTCCCTTTTCTTTTCTTTCTCTTTTTTTTCTCTTTTTTATCTCTTTTCTTTCTTTTCTTTTCTTTCTTTCTTTTTCTTTTTCTTTCTTTCTTTTTTTTTTCTTTTTTTTTTTTCTTTCTTTTTTCTTTCTTTTTCTTCCATTTTTTTCACTATTTTCTTTCTTTCTTTTTTCACTCTTTTTCTTTTCTTTTTTCTTTTCTTCTTTATTTTCTTCTTTCATCTTAATATTTATCTTTCTTTTTTCGTTCTTTCTTCCTTTTTTCTCTCTCTCTCTCTCTCTTCAAATCTCTCTATTTATCTTCCTTTTTTAAATTTTTCTATCACATTTCCCCTTCTTTTTAGATGGACGGGAAAAGAACCAACAGCAAACGAGACATAACCCTTATTGATGGAATTACCGTCCATTTTTTAATGTAATTTTCGGACAAATAAATAAAATGTTGACATTTATGATAACATTATTGGACGCAATTTAATCTTCTTTTTTTTCAAAAAAATTTTTAAAATTCAACACTTTCATAATAACTAAAAAATTAATTCTTTTAAAAACAATTTTTTCCTCAAACACGATAATTAATTAGAAATCTAAATTTTTCAAAAATTCCAGGACATCCTTCGAAATTGCATGAAGACAATCAGTAAGTCTGTTTCTAAAATACATTTGAAAATATTTAATAATTCGTAAAATGAGCTAATTTTCTTTTTCTTTCATGGGGAAAATGGGGTAAGTATTTACAAGCAGGAAAATGAAATCATTCTTTTCTGAGTTTTTCTCTTCTAGACATGTTCATAATATACTAGTGATCTTTAACGATATGAATATATGGTTCCATTTTTTTGTTTTTCATTATTCCTTCAATTGTCATATTTATTCAAGGTTACCAAATTTTTATTTAGATTCTATGAATAGAATATGTATTTATATTTGGTTTTCTTGGTTTGGTTTATTTTGTTTTCTATTTACATCAACTTCAATGGGTTATTCAATGCTGAAGCATTTTTACGATATATTCGTATGAATAAAATATGTATTATTTGGTTTAAATTGGTTTGGTTTATTTTTTTTAATCTATCAAATTCAAAAAAAATTTTTTTTTTTCAAAATAATTCCTTGATTTTTAAATGCCATAAAAATTTTCCATAAACAAAAAACAAATTTTTCGTTCTAAAATTACTTTCTCCAAAGATGCTTTGAAATTTTCAATACTATCAAAAAATTTAAGAAAACGTTCTTCTTTCTTTATCCAAAACTCCTTATAGCACATATGATCCCATAACAGTTTTCTAAATATGGCGACCACGAAGTTAGGATTTGAGTTTAAATTTTTAAAAAATCAGGTGATAAAAGTCTATTTTTTTTAAGTTCATTGAAATCTTTCAATTCCAAATCTTTAAGAAAATAAGTATTTTACCTGAAAAGACACTGAAAATTTGAGAATTCAGTATTTTCATAAAATTAAGACTTTATTTATTTTCATTTACATTTTAAATATTCCATTTTTTTAAAATTGAATGATTTAAAATTTTTTCCATATAATTGGAAACCTTTTCCCCAAATCTATCTTGATTATTTGCTTCAATTCAAAAAAAGAAAAATAAAAAATTTCAACAGACGCTGTATTTTGAAAATCTCCGGTGGGTCTTTTTATACCGGAGTATTTCAATCTTTGATTTTTCGTCTTTGATTCAAAGTTCAAAAAAAAACCTCTTTTTCATCTTGAGTTAAATCTTCATTGGAATTTTCAAATATCATTTTTTCATAAATTGAAATGTTCTGGAAATTTCAACCTTTTTCAATTATTCCGCTATGGTGTTAAAAAATTTTTTGATAAATGCCCTGAAAACATTTTTGATCACCCCAAAATCTTTGAAAAAACAATACATGCCAGAACTAATATTCTATGGATTTAGCTATCTTCTTGTATTAAGATCTCTGTCATCAAAACCGTACAATTGAACTTTTTTTTTGTTTTCTGAACAGGGTTTAATTCTTTTATTTCTGTCTCTTAAAAATTGAATTTCTTAATCCATTCTTCACAGTTGCATAGGAAAGGGGTATAAAGAAATTTTTTTTGAACATGTCCTCATTAAAATTACCTTTCTTTTTCAGGTGTTTATGACTGTTATTCAAATTTTTATATTTTAAAATTATTAAAACACTTCTAACATTTTTACAATTCTTGCGCAGAAAAAAACAAAAGCTGAAAGATAAAAAGTATTAATTTAAAAATGAAAATTACCAAAAAAATTTCCTTGATAAATCATCTTTCCAAAAAATTTAAAACTTTTTGAACTAAACTCATATTCTTTTTTTTTGAAATGATGATTAACTAAATACTCAGCATGAAACATTAACACTGATCGTTCAAAAATTGTAAGAAAGCTTGAAAACATTTTTTTTAATGAAATGATATTTATACTTTTGTTAAAGATTATCCTGACATTTTACATAAATAAATTGCCTCAAAATTCTAATACAACAACACATTATGGAAGGTTTATAATTTTTGAAAAATTTCAAAAACCAGTTTCTTTTTATTTTAAAAATTCAAATATAAAAGAGATTTCATATTGGATTTAAATCTGGTGATAGTACTTAAAATGTCATTCCAAAACCATAGGATGAAATCACATTTTGAAAATTCGATTATTCATTCACAAATAATATACTCTTCTTTATGAAACCTGTCTATGGTAAAATCACTTTAAAACAATTTCTCCAGTTTTTTCACAAAGTAGAATCAAGCAAATAAATTACTTAATTTAAATTTATTTTGTCTATTACACAAATATTTTGCAAATTTCTAAAAATTGATTCGGCTTTAAATAACACACATAGGCTTGATAAGCTGTGAAAAAAATACAAATAATTGTTCATGACCAAATATAATTTAACAAATCTATCATTCCCAATTATTAAAAAAATAGCATTATGTCGCAATGCTTGACTTCTGGGACATTGCTCTTTGGATTGAAAACTTCACCTATTTCTTCGCCTAAAAAAGTAAGTCTGTGTTGGAGAAGTTCAAATTTTATCTTTATGTTAATCGAAGAAATTTATGCAAAATCCTTTATCAAAATGAAATTAGATTTCTGTAGAAATTATATATTAAACGTTAATATTTAAGATTATTGGTATTCTTTGTTGCCAGAATTTTGCAACAAATTTATCAAGATAATTCAATATACAGAATCTTTTAAATCTGGCAGAATATTCTTGCTTATGATTCTAATTTTTGCTACATGGCGTGATAACTTGGCTTTCCTTCATCGTCTTTCGAGATCTTTTTTTAATGATCTGAATTTCTTGATACAGTTTTGAACAGTTGAAATATTAATATATTTAAAATAATTTGAATTTTCCCCTCTCCTCATTTGGCTATAATTTATCTTTATCTTCATTTTGATATTCATTACATTTTCTAACCTTAAACATCTCGACTTATCTCCCTTCTAAAAAGGGCTAATATAAGTCTTACTTTATCCAACATTTCAGCTAAACTGGTAAAGAGCATTTCATCAAAAAAGATCGATTCAGACCGAAAAAATTTCAACATATCCAATCAGTAATCTTTTTTTTATTATGAAAAAAAATATAAAATTATCATCACTAAAACGTTAAAAACCTAACTTTTATATATATATATATATATATATATATATATATATATATATATATATAATAGATAATTGTCGTCTTAATTATGTAAAAATGAAAACAACACTTTAATTTCTTTTAACGTATATATTTACTTAAAGGCTTAAAAAAATATTTTTAAATACAAACTTGTAAATTCATTTCAATAAAATTTTGTTTTTTCATTGGTTTTAATCATGGCCTCCATTTTGAAGCCAACTCTTGTTCCATTTTGAATTCTATTTCTATTTTGTGCTTCAAATAAAATATTTGCTTTTTTGAACATTCAATGTCAGTCAACTGATTAATTACGATGATTTGTTTGAGTTTGTTTTGAAAATATTTGTCATAAATAAATTTCTTCTTTCAAGAATGTTAGAAAAATTGTTACTGGAGGACCTGTATATATATATATATTTATATATATATATTGATATATATATATATATATATATATATCCATTATACTGCAAATAACAAATGAACCACTTCATTATCAAGTAACCTTTCAATTAACAATTATATATAAAAGTTTTAATATTTTAATTCTACATATTCAATTTTAAAATATTGATACATCTATATTTTAATATCTTAACATTTTTTAAACATTTGATTTTTTATTTTTGGAAACATATAATTTTACATAAAATTATATACATATACATATATATATATATATATATATATATATATATATATATATAAATTTATATTGGTCACACCACAAACTCGCTTTCACGACGCTTGACACTACATTTTGAATGAAAATTCTAACAACATTTTTAGGCATTTAAAACAACATGCCTGCCCGCACACACAATTCCGTAAAATACTTGTCGAAAACACAATTATACTTCGACATGAAAACAATAGACAAAAACTAAAAATCCTTGAAGCATTATACATCAAACAGTTGAAACCCAACCTAAACAAAATCAATTATGGCATCTCTACAAATATTCTTAAATGTCTATAATTGGTAACAGAAACCATTGGTTTATACCAACGGCTTTCCATACTTCATTCTCCAATTCACTCTCGTGTGGTCATGTGTGACGTCATGAGATGCGGTGCGATTTTCGCTTCTAGCGTCTTATATGCACGTGTTTATCGTTGCTTAGAAATCATCTATGTAAACAATGACAGACTATCATCACTGTCTTGTCCGTATATTGTTTAATATGTTGTAATTGACATCTTTGATAATGGCTTATGTAAGCCGAAAGCTTAGATTGTATTAAAAAATATGGATCAATATTGTGAATTTTTTCTTCGTTCAACGATAATAATTATTAAACTTATCAGATGTTACGAAAAAATTACATAAAATAAATAGACAACACTTGTCTATATTATTTAATGAAACGTGTATTTAATAATTTATCTGTGCTTGAGCAATTGTTTACTTTTCATATATCAAGCCATTGTCTCTTACTTGCGGAAGATTTTTCAAATCCAATTTTCTTAACGACTATTGAATTCATTCGTCTGAACCCTGATTATATTAATATTTTTTGTCAATCTTAATAAAAGCGATTCAAAATTTACAAAATTCTGAATTTTTTTAAGCAACTGATGGCTTTTTATATTTATTGATCCGACAGATTTTATTAGTTGAATATTATTTTTAGTTGATGCCCGTATTTGTATATAAGCCCCGTCTCTTTATTAAACAGTAAGGACACGTGGCAAAGTGGATAAAGGCGTTGGTTAGATCCAGTGACAGGGCCCAAAGAGTG